TTTTCAATAAATATCATAATAATTCAGATTTTCGTAATCAAATCAAAACCAAGTCAAAGATTCATATTTTAAATAAATATCATAATAATTCAGATTTCCGTAATCAAATCAAAACCAAGTCAAAGATTCATATTTTCAATAAATATCATAATAATTCATATTTTCGAAATCAAGTGAAAATAAAGTCCAAGATTGATGTTTTAAATAAATATCATAACAATTTAAATTTTCGTAATCAATATAAAGCACGTTCAAAAAAACAAGTTTCGAAGAAGTATAAATCTGATCCAATGATACGAATGAAAACAATTGAACGTGCAATGAATTGGTATCATAAAAATAATACATTGATGAGACAAAATTCCAGACGACTTTATAATCAACGTAGACGTATTCTAAAAAAATATATTGCTATTCAGAACCATAAATGTATATATAAGCAAAGCAATTTATACATGAATAACTTGAATAAGTTTCGACAAATAATTCAAGAAGGACCTGATTATGTTTGTATATCATGTCAATTAGCAATTTTTCGTAATCAAGTGATACCATTCGTTGAAGAAAAGTATATAACACAAAACATGTCATATGAAATAAAAAAACACATTCAATCTTACTTTATGTATTCATCGTCAAGAGAACAAAAATGGATTTGTAAATCATGTTCAGACAAAATAAAGAAACGACAAATGCCAAGCCGAGCAGTCGTGAATAAACTGAAAGTTTGTGAGATTCCATCTGAATTAAAAAGATTAAATAATCTTGAAAAACATTTGATTGCTTTAAGATTACCATTTATGAAAATTGTAAATTTAACATCAGGAAAACTATCAAGTAGATTGACACAAAAAGGTACTAAAGGACCACTTCATTGTGTGCCATCAGATGTAGAAGACACTGTAACTATCTTACCTCGTCCAGTTGATAAATCCATGATGGTCCGATTACAACTGAAACGACGACTAAAATACAAAGCTATATGGGAAGAACAATTAATAAATCCAAATGATGTAAGAGATGCACTATTTGTTTTAACTAAGATGCATCCAGGATATAAAAGTATAAAGATAAATGATATTCATGAAAATTATCTTACATCTGATCAAGAAAAAAACTATGACAATAACATTGAATTAGTAGTTGAACCAATGGATGTTGACAACATATCAGAAGAAACTGTCATTGAACAAACAGAAGCATCTAATGAACATAGTCTAAAAAGATTAGCTTTGGGTGATATTGATAATACTATTGACAGTGATGAAGAAATCAATGAAGATGATAAAGATATTCGTACTAAATATAATATTGGTACAGATTCATGTACTCAACCATGTGATTTTAATGATTTTTTAGTCTTTGACAAAGAGCCATGCGTAGTAGCACCAGCTGAAAAAAATAAATTAAGTTCATTATTAACAGATAAAACAATTGAAGCATTAGCCTTTCCTCATTTATTTCCAGATGGTCAAGGCTCATATGACGAAGATCGTCAAACAATTCTTAGATGGAAAGAATATTGTAAAGCACGTTTATTTTCATCAGATTCTCGTTTTGCTTCAGATTCAAGTTATATTTTTTATCTACAGTATTTAGGTGACTTGAAACAAGTATACTCCGGAATCAATATTGCTTTCCGAAAAAAATTACCAATGAATGCTAAACAAAGCTTAGATGAAACGCAAATGAAATTTCTTATGAATAAAGATATGATATATCGTCATTTGCAATGTGTTCGAGGTAGTCCACAATATTGGTATAAACGTTTAAAAGACTTATTCGGAATGACACGTCAACTAGGTTTTCCAACCTTTTTTCTTACACTATCATGTGCTGATCTACGTTGGAAAGAATTCACTGATACTTTTGTACGTCACACTGGAGCTCCAATAAAAGAATCATATACATTTAAAGAAAAAACAAAGCTTTTACGTGCGAATCCTGTTCTAGCTGCACGTTTGTTTGAAAAACGATTTAATACATTTATGAATTTATTTATTAAAGGTGGAGCATCGTGTCTAGGCATTGTAGAAGACTGGTTTGCTCGTATAGAAATGCAAATGCGAGGTTCACCACATTCTCACATGCCACTTTGGGTAAAAGGTGCACCTGTTTACATTGGATTACAAACCGATGAAAAAACTCGTGAGGAAATCGTTAAATTTTGTGACAAATATATTACCACACGATTCCCATCATTAGAAGAAGATCCAATATTACACTATCTTGTCAAAGAATTACAGTTTCATTCTCGTAATCATTCAAAGTCTTGTTTAAAATTGTATAAAATGTTGTGTCGTTTTGGATTTCCTCGGCCTGTTGCTCGACGGACATTCATTTGTGAACCATTAAAAGCTAAGAATGATGATGATAAACAAAAATTTAAAAGAATGAAAGAAATTCTTACTGAAATGAATGCAACGATGAATAAATTAG